CTATTGCGTTCGGAGCTGATTTGAAGGTGTGCGGAGCAGAAACAAAAGTCTCTGTATGCTTTTATGCAGTCATCACAGTCAGCCAAGCCTGTAATCCTCGGAGGTCCGATAATGACATAGCCCCTGCATTTATTACATGGAGGAGAGGAGAGAGGGGAAAACGCTGACTTTGAACAAATGAACACTCTGACCTTTATGCAATAAATATGACATGGGCCGCATAAAAAGACAAGATATCTTCCTCCTGAATGGAAGACAACATGGATTCTGCTCCCCTGCCTCTTGCTCAGATTTTTTCTTCTCCATATTACACTTTCCCACTACTTTAAAAAAAAGTCCAGATTATAAACTGTAGTATTTAATTCTGAATATAACTATCCCAGAGTTATTGCTATTGATTTTATAGTATTAAGAAGTGGTTTCATGATCTATAGGGTTACATAAGGACAATGACATGAACATCCAATGGTTCAAATTGTGAATCATTTTGTTTTTTTATGCTTTGACAAATTGACATGAAACTTGCATACATTCTCTTTAAGGGCCTGGGTTATGGCAGAGCTTTACGTGCTCTGTATTCTAATTCCTATTTTAAACTTCACTTGAGTGCAATTTACAGCTTTGAAAGCAATAAAAGATACTCAGTGTGTGTCTGTGAAGCAGGGCCGTTTTACCAGAGAGAATCAGCCTTTCACTGTGCCTTTTGTATCTCAGTGTGATCCCAATTGAGAATCCCGATTGTCTTCTTTTGTCACCTCGCACTGCAACGCTGACAGTAAAGGATTTATGGTTATTTCCTCCATGCAGCCTGTCCATCTGTGGCTCTATCTTCATATGGCCTTGAGAATACGATTCAATTTATTAAGGCAAAGCAATGGACTCATTACTTTAAAAAGGTGGCAAGAGAGAGAGTGAGCAGGAGCGAAGTGACACACTGAATTGGTTATTAATGGAAAGGCACAGCCACGGGGCAGTTGAAATTTAATGATATCCTACAAGAAAATATGAGGGCGTCACTCTCCAAAAAGTCATGCTAAATGTCAACATTTTAAGGTCTCACCGCTAATTTTATGCCTGTGCACAGTAATGTTTTGGAGAGCATTTAGGAAACACGGCCCAGTGGCCAGCCTGATTATCCTGCTCACCTTCTCGGCTCGCTCCAAATAGGTTTGTGCAGCAAGCGATTTCATCTCTAAGTGAAAGGAACATTAGGGAGGGAGGACGAGAGAGCGATGGAGGAAAACACGGCGTTTGATTTTCATGCTGTGATAAGAGAGTGGGAGCCAAATGTTACCTGTTAATCTAGCCCAAACCGACCGGGGCTCTTGACTTTGTCCCCCAGCAGGGATGGGGCAAACACTCATTTTCCTCTCTCCGTGATGAAAAGGAAATTAGCTTAAATGTGATGAGGGCACATTATGTGTGTGGTGTGTGCGTAATGACTGAGACTGCAGTGCCGTCTCGGTCTCCTCTGTAGGCAGGAGGACAGTGCACACATATGTAGCACATGTGTTTGGATCGTCTCACTCATCTGCACTGACCTCTGCATTAGAAGTCATGCTTCACTGTGTTTCCTGTGTCTGTTAAACACAAATGGACATACTCTTTTTTCTTTTTACTTATGATCAAATCATGTTTTCAAAATGTAGTTCAACTTGTGAACAATAAAACTGACTTTCCCTTTAAGACCCTTTTAAGTGCAGACATCATTTGCGAGATAAGCCGAGCTCATATTTTTTTAAAGCACTTAAACTGCATGCAACTACTTTTTCTGCCGAGCTCTGCATCACCGCATTCATACCAGTGGACAGATATTTTCCTTGACAAGATTTTCCGATTCCAGCACTTTAAGTGCACATAGAATAATGCTGTGTTGGCTGCTAATGGCTGTCCAAGAGGTCATAACTACTCCATTTGAAGGAGGCTGGTTTCTGCGTAGACCTGGCAGGTCAAATCAAATGTAATTGTGCAGTGAAAAAACAGTGGCTTGCTTTGTGTTGCTGTGCTGACAAGCTCCAGGTTTAGCATTCACTTCTCCTGCTGGGAGGAACACAGGTTTGCAAGGACAAAAGCTTCACCTGTCAATATATCACAGTGACTGGCCAGCCAAAAGCCCCGCTCCCTCTTCCCTTCTGTCAGCCTTTCATTGTGCACACTGCATCTTCTCCAGCCTCCTCGCGCTGAGCCGCACCTATCTATCCATCCATCTTCTGTCTTCAGCATCTATCTCTTATTCCTGCCATCTTTCTGTCGTCTTTCTCCCTCTGCTCGCGTGTGTCTTCCTCTTCTCTCCTCATGCACACTGCCTTCACATGAGGACCCAGCTGAATTGTCCCGTGGGAGCCGGTTTCAAATACAGGAACCAGAAACATATGGCACATTTTCAACTCCCAAGGTCAATTATAGCTATTTATCCAGAGATCGCGATTAAATTTCCCAAGGTTTCTTCTAGATTTACCACAGATTGCAATGTGTGTCTGTCACAATTTAAATCAGGCCACTTTGCTTGTAACTTTCCATCAAATATTTCAAAGGCTTCAGAGCGATTTTCCGACATGTTTTATCTCTGCTTATCATATGCCCTATCTGTTTTTGCCTCAGCATGGCTGGGTCCAAGTGGCACTTGCTACACAAATCTAATAACATGTAAATTGGAGATAAGCCCAGATCCCTCCAAGTGATATTTTTTACATTCATAGTTTGTCAAGTCAATTTCTAGGCCCCTGTTTTAGCAGCACAACACATGAGGAGTGAGAAAATTAACTGGATAGGTGATTCATCATTGCTAGCACACTGTCAAGGACTCCCTCTGCAGCTATTGAGAGCAGGCTGGAAGAGGAGGAGGAAGAGCAGGAGGAGGGGGCCGTGGTGTTAAATTATGGCATTTCATTCAAAATGCATTGTATTTACAGCGCCCCATTTTTATTTGTGGCTCCTATTATCCACCAAAACAGTTGTGCATGAAATGTTATTTGTGACAGGGGTGACCTGTGAGTGTTTTTCCACACACTATTTCATAGTGGGGGCCTTAACTGTACTTTTAGAGCACGGTGCGAGAGCACAAGAGGCTGTCACAGCTGCTGTTGGCAGCTGAGCTAGTGGAGAAATATCACCTGGAAACAGAGCACTCCAATCCACCGGCCCCCATCACTCCAACGCCTGTCGCTCTAATTAAGTTGAAGTCAATGATTCTGGAGCATGGTGAGAAATAAACATGCAAACACATGCCAGAGACTGCAGCCAGCACTGGGAGAACGGGGGCTCGCCTCATTTCAATGGCGTTCGAGTTGTAGAAACACAGATCAAGATCATTTTCCAACATTTATATTGGTTTGATTAAGTCATGTTTGATTTGTATTGATTAAACCTGGCGCTTATTAGTTGAGTTCTCCTTTTTGAACATGCCAGGATTTATACAGGGCTCCAGTGGAAATGTTATCTGACAAGGCTGCTGTATGGTCGTCGGAGTCTGTCGAACAAAACACGCTGTTTGCTTTTCCCGGAGCATGACAGGTTGTTTCCCTGCAACAAAGCCATCAAATATTCTGTGTGATCCAACATAGTGTTGGAGGCAAGGCCTGCTGAGTGGGAAGCCTGAGTTTGTTAAAGCAATGATTTATGATTAATGCCAACACTAAATAAGGGACAAAGTGCCTACAGTACAAATCAATTACAAAGCTCCACCAGCAGACCTTTCCCTGAGGTCTCCTAACGTCTCGAGTTGTTATGGTGATTTTATTGGAGGTGGGTGATGCATGCATATAATGCCTGCCATACATCTATATCAACGTGAGCTGGAGCCAACTGTAATGCTTTTGATCTTTGATTAGTTGTGTTATTGAGATAAAATAGGACTTTCATGTTGAGCCGGTGTGTAAAGAGGGTGCATTTACATCCCCACCCAGACGCCCACCGTAAGCTCAGACAGCACTGCAGCAAACAAAACAAATTACCACAGGAGTGGCTTTTTAAAAGTAGGCAATTCATTATTTTTATGAAGTCAAATTATAAACAAATTTTAATCCATTAGGCAACCATCCATTCTAATTAATCAACAGGAGTGAACTCCATCTGAAAAAGAGAAAGGTTGTTTACTGTCTCCACGGACCAGCGGTGCATATTTCACGTCTCTCCTCTATGAACTAGGAAAAAAAGATCTCCAAATTACAAACCTAAACTGTGAACACTCGACTTTTGGCTCAGAGATGTTTCCAGGGCATTTGCAGATGCTTGAAATAATCTCCAATGTTTTTGCTCAATCTGCTCTGAGGATGGGTGAAATAAATACTTTAAACTAATTAATGTAAGACCAGCTGTTCCCTGCACTTGGCTGGCGTTGGTGAATATTGATGGGAGGGAGAGGAAGGGCTGTTCAGCTCCACTCACTGTTTGTACAAGACTCAGTCTGCCACATAAACACTGCTGAAGGCAGAGCTGCAGTTTGTGACACACAGCCTCCACAACACAAAGATCATTTTTGCCCTTCATTTACATTTAAATACTAGTATGGATTTGAGGTGCCTGAGAGCTCAAACTGGTAGCGTATTTCGTTCTCATTTATCATGTAGTGCAGCGGTTGGCCTGGTCCCTCCTCTGTGCTCCTCTCCTCTGATCCCGCTGAGAGGCTGGACAGCAGATGGCAGGGCCCTACCCCTCTGCTCTGATGAATGGTGGATGATGTCATCCTGGTTTGACAGGCAGCCGTGCGTGCATACACAAAGGAAACCCTCGCCCTCAGGGTCTATCTTCAGGGCCTGCTTCTGATTTTGGAGCACACATGACATCTCTTAAAAGCGTGTGGAAGCTGGATTTATGTCCAGGTTAATATTGTCTAACCTTGCACTTGAGCAGGCCTAGAGAACATGCAATAGCAGAAAAATCTCTTGATAGACTTCCAACAGGGGTCAGTGCAGTCAGGGTTGAAGTTATAATAATAATTATGTCTGTACATGCAAACAAACAAACATTAATTTGTAAATAATAATGACCGTTTCTTCCAGAAGACAACCCATTGTGCACCCCAACAGCAAGAGACAGTTATGAGCGGCTATCACTGGCGGGACAAGGTCTGCCTCCTGGTTTCCCATCACCTTTCCTCTTTCCAGACGGGCTGTCGTCGATAGAGACTCTGCTTACCAACATACAGGTAAACACACAACCAGCACCTTCTTACTATGATCTGACGTCTTCAGTATTCAACTGTTTATTTTTCGCAACTGTCTTAATACATGGTTATCACAAACGTTACAGATGTTATATGTTTACCTTTCAACATTTTGTCTGGCCCTCTAAAAGTTATAATCTTGCAGCTCTCTACAGTATTCAAACTAGAGCTGTACGATATTGGAAATTAAAGTGATATGAGTGTTTAGTTTTATATTATACGATATTATATTGCGATATTTTTCTCTTTCACCTAAATTGCAATCTGCATTTAAACGCATGAGACAAATAGCAAAAAATAACTCTAATGACATTCAAATGCATATATTTATATACTTTTTGTGTGTTTGTTTGTTGATCTTGTTGAATGTTTGATGTGTGTTTCTGTTTTGTGGTCGTTAATAAAGAAAAAAAAAAAAAAAAAAAAAGATAAATATATACAGTATATATATCCATCCGTTTTCTTCCCCTAATTCCATTGCTGGGTCGGGGGGTGGTAGTCAGAGCTGCACCCAGTACACATAGCACCAGCCCCTCACTGATCCTCCTGCAGGTGGTGAGTCCACAGGAGTCTTGGTCTTTCAGCGGGGGCTTCAGGCAACATGGAGTTATTTTTATATTCATATATATTTTTTTATCACGCATCTTTTTGTTATGGTTATCACACGTACCAATATCGCAAGAACAATAACTTTTCAATATATCGTGCACCCCTAATTCAAACTTCATACTGTTCACGTTTCTCTGATTGAGTTAAATCTCAACAAACTGAACCAACGACTTACCACATTCTTTATAAAAATGAACAGGTTTGAACTTTTTGATACAAATATTTACCAATCTTTATTGCACTTTTTGAACTACATTATGAGAAACCACAGCACACTCAGACATTTTTTTTCCTGCCCTTATTTTCTATTCATTGCTGATGGAATGTGTCAAGAGACTCTCAAAACACGTGTGTAAAGTATGCGCCGTCTTGTTTATTAGTAAACAAAGCAAAAACACGTTCAGCTCAAAAATTTAGCACTGCAGTTTCTCAACTATATGGAATGTTTTTATACATAGAAACTTTTAAAATGTAAAGTAGAAAGATGAGCAATGGGCCAAGGGCAAGTGTTGTAGGCGGATTCAAACCAAATTTAACGAAAACATTCTCTTTAAAAATTAGTCTTTGTCATTTCATGTTAGAATGATATCTTCAAGGTATCTCGGGAGATGTTGCCTGAAGTCGCATCTCTCGTTGGACTAGATTTAGTTGTCTTCTGTCTTTCGCCTCTACTGTCTTTCACATCCTCTCATATACACAGACGTATTTAGCATTTTCAGCTCTTCTTTTTTTACCAAAATCGCAATGAACAGGCATTAGCTGCTAATCGACTACATGAACAATCCACTGCGCAGTAGGTAGTAATGTACACCAATTATTTTTGTATGCAAATGTGTTTCTAATTAGTACAGATATCTCTCTAAAAACCTAAAAAAGTCAAAAATATATGGTGAAACAACTATGCATTGTAAATAATTATTCTACCTGTAGTTCCCTATCTCACCACCAGAAAGAGTTGAATTGTTTTTTGTTTTTGTTTTTCAAAATTTGAAAATGATCAGCTGCAAACATAGCCATACAATGATGAAATTGCCAAAACTGATTTATGAGGACTACCTTTGTTTTAACAGGTAGAAAACTGCTCTGATTGTGATGTCATGGTGGTACAATGACATCCTATTATTACAGGACTGAGACAGGAGCTTTTAGCCAGAAGTAAAGTTACATGTTTTAGCCCAACGTTCTTGATTATAGAGTGTATGTCTTTCATTTAAAGCAATTGTGTTTGGGTTTTTAATACTTTGAGAGTTTTTGCCTGTATGTCATCTTACAACATCCCCATTGCTTTACTACTTTACCAGAGTCAAGAGCTGATCTAATTTCGGTTATTGCCATTCCTCTCCACAAGAACCACTTGATCGTCCGTGCTTACACCTAGCGTCACAAAGATAAAATATTTGGCCTCTTATCTGGGTGTAACGATGCGAGTAGACTCTCCACACTCGTTCTCCTGGCTTCATGGTCTCGCGTCTCCTTTTGGCTTCCAGTGGTAATTAGCAAGCCACAAGTACAAACCCATCGTCAGCCTCCCAACACTCAAGTCAACCCCGATAATGATCACTGCGCTGAATATTTATACACAAATCAACAAAATGAAACCAAGCAGAAAATGAAGATAAAGCAACTTAGAATAAATTGGGGTCACAAGAATCGACAATTAGTAAGTTATAGTCCAGCGCGTTTGATATGATTGCCTGCGGATGGGGAATTATTGAGATAGAGATATAGAATTGAAAGTAATAGCATTCAGTACGTCTCAATTCGCAACTATCAGGAGTCCATTTGGTATAACAGACACATGATGAGAAACTTGTCATTCATATTATTCATTCTTGCTGAGCTGTTCGTCGAGCTTGAAAGAGACTGTCTCAGTGTATTTATCATAATACAGCAGTCAGTCAAGAAGAAGATGAAGGGGGAAACTCCAAAGGATGAAATGTTGAAGATATCAGAAGGCGCTATTGTGGTGACCTTGCCTGTACGGTCCCTGTTAGCCTCTGCTCACTGAACTTGGTGTCATCCGGTTTACTTTGACGGATTTGTACAGTGCCTTTGTGCCTCTGAGTGCTAAAAGGAAAGTCACAATATTAAGTGCCCTGACACTATGTGGGTAGACGGCATTTCAAAACCTCTGCATTCTCGCTGATGGGCCTTTTTTTTTAACAAAACACTGTACTACGCTATCTCTTTTGCATTCCTGTCATTCATGAAATATAATGTATATGTAGAAAATGCAAGACACCAACTTTTTCATAATTTTTTAAAGATTTTTTTTCCAGTAGACAGAAGAGAAAACAAAAATATGTGAAAGTGAGCACAGATAAGACCTTTATGTCTGTGCTCTTGGTAAAAACGCAGCAATGTTTCCCATCCCAATATTTTGGGTAATTAAAATGTTGGTTCTATTGAAATTAAATGCTCTATCATATAAAGAACAATCTGATTGTGTTTATGTTGACAGTAATTATAGGATTATTGAACAAAGAACAGTACTGAATATTGATGGGCACAGCCACAAATAAAGTATTTCTGCCCTGAGTGAGCCAGCCTCGGTCCAGTTAAAGTGAACCAGCCTCGGTCCAGTTAAAGTGAACCAGGCTCGGTCCAGTTAATGTGAACCAGACCAACAAGTGTAAACACGATCTTCAATTTCAGTCAATGTATTTGATCGCTGTATATCGCTGGGCCAATGTTCATTGGCCCAGCGCAAGAGAAAGAAAGTATAATGGTAACTTAAAGAATGAAATGAACAAGACTCAGGGTTATGCTTTTATTATGAGTAGTAAAAGTATTTGTACTCAAAATATAATTTGTATTTATTTAAAATGCCCTATAGCAACAAGTTATAACAGTCCAATTACTTCAAATTTGACCTCCGCCACTACAGACATGTTATATGAACAAGCAATGCTTTTCAAATGAATATTCTTTATTAAACTAATGAATATAAATCAAATACAGTTTACTTTGTAGGTTTGTGTTAAAATTATCAAAAAAAAAAAAAAAAAAGAATGAATGGAATTTCTATATCAATTCAATTAAATAAGTCCTAAAAGTACTTCTGTGAATGTGTCTTCTATTTCTTGCAGTTTTCACATGAGGAAGTTCTTGTAATTGAAATAATTAGTCAACAAATGCAAAATTCACTATGGAACCTAATGGACTGATTAAGACTAAACCACAAAAGTCTGACTGCCCTAAACACTACTGGCAAATAGCCTTTCACTTTCCTTTCACTATCCTAGTAATATATTCAAGCAACAAAAGCCATATTCATTCTCTAATCCCAACTCTTCCTTTCTCAGGGCTTGCTGAAAGTGGCCATCGACAACGCTCGCGCTCAGGAGAAGCAGGTCCAGCTGGAGAAGACAGAGCTGAAGATGGAACTGTTCCGGGAGCGAGAAGTGCGAGAGACTCTGGAGAAGCAGCTGGCCATGGAGCAGAAGAACCGAGGTGGGTCCGCTTCCTCCTCCCGCCCTCGCGCGTCCGTCTGATCGTCTTTGGAGGCTGCGCGTACACGGCCGCCGCATGCATTTCACCTTGGAGAGACCCATGAGGAAACGCATTAGACTTATTAGATTTAAGCATGTTTATTGATTGAGCATGTTTGGCGCCCTAGGCCCGGGCGGGATGCTGTTGAGCACGGCGCTTGCTCGCGTGCATGATCCCCCCGGGGCCTAGGCAC